AACTACATTTTATCAAAAAACAAGACTATTTATTGTAAATATGACAGGCTGACTATTAACATTAGATTTATTTTATGCAGTCAACAAATAATATCAAGCAATTTCTAAATTTAAATAAATAAATCTAAATATATGTTAGTACCAAGTTTTATTTGTCTATTTAATTTAATTTTCAGTAAATTATTTCTTCCCACTTTCACTTAATGTGTTTTGCTGGAACTTGTTTTGGATTCAGTTTAGAGATGATCCATGACTTCTTTGTTTAAACTGTTTATTTTTAAATAGTAGATTAATTACTGTAGATATACTTATATAATTTTTCAATTCCTTTTCCATTTTTCATTTTCTTAAATGATTTTCCTATTGTTTACTAATACTTTGCATTTTTCTTTTCTGATTTGTCTTTTGTTTTGGTAGTTTAAGGGAATATATTTGATTTCTTAATTAGTTTTCCTTTTTAGTTAATTTATTTAAATTTTAGTTATACACTATCTCTATAATTTCCTGGTTGGTAATCGTTTGAACCAAAGTGTTCACTATTATCAATCCTAGCCAACTAAGGTAATTGTAAAATTTGTTGCTTGTCCAATTTTCATTGTTTTTGTTGATATATGTTGGGATGAATAAAGAATGAATGAATGAATAAATGAATGAATGAATGAATAAATGAATGAATGAATGAATGAACAAATGAATTAATTAATAAATAATGAATGAATGAACAATGAGTATATATAGGTACCCTTAATTTCCATGTTGAACAATAAGTGATGCATGTGACCCCCAGATTTAGCGAACCCTTGGCCTAGACCCTAATAAAACTGCAATTGAATCATTTAACATTTGCATGTCAGTCATCTGCCTTGAATCACATATAGTAATACACGTTTATTCGTACATGATATAAACCATTAGTACCACAGTTCTGTCACTAAATTGCAACAATAATGTGTAGCAACAAATTCAGGGTCAGATAAGTCACACGAAAACTTAGGAATTATCATTTACTAACTAAAATGAAATTTTAGAATGGTAAATTAGAAAATTCTGCAAATTACCAAATTTATTACAGCATATGATTCAGTTTTTCTTGCAGGAAATAATTACTAAATGAAAATGAGAATAAAAAAAATTGGGAGATCCTCTCATATCAAATTCTATATCAATCTTCATGAATAATTCATAATTTGCAAGAAAAAAAATATATCATTAACACAGATTTACAGATTTTTAAATGTGGGAAATCAATTGAACTTTCTATTAAAGCTAACCATATTTTATTTCTGATATTTTCACAATATGGATGAATTAAATATATTTAAAAATTTGTCAAGCACTATGTAACATCAACTATATCAAGTAACGTGTTTTATTGTGTCATCTGTATGATGTTCGTCGGGAGACAGATATCGGAGAAAGGTTGAATATAAATACAACTTAATACAACAAATATTTCATCCTATTTCTGAGGACTTATCTGCATAGCTAATTTACGTAGCAAGCTAAGTACTTATACAGAATTATGAGTATAAATACACAAAACATTGTATGGTTTGCAATACAGTAGAAAGTCAGAACACTACATTTAGAAATTCATAGGCCACAACTTGTGAGTCATGCTTAGTTAGCTACCCAAGGGCATAATTTGATGGGGAAAATGCCTGTAGTGACTGAACTCCAAGTCTTTTGGATGATCCTTCAAGCTCCTGAAGGAGTATCAAGTTGCCAATTTTTTTAAACGTCGTCGTCGTGGGAACAGAAAAAGCAAAGAGGTTCCCAATAATTTAGGAATTAAAACATTCTGCAAAGTTTGTCGAAATTTATAGGCTTCTCAAAAGTTATTAAAAAGGGATGATCTTTGTCAAACTTAAATCCAATAGCCTCAACCTAAGCCCTGTCCAGACTATCAAATTTGATTTGACATAAACATGTGACATACCTAAATATGGTCATGGTAACATCGCATCATGACCATATATAGGCACATCATGACTATATATGGGCATACAACAGTTTTTTGTCAAAGAATGTTTGATAGTGTGGACACAGCTCTAGCTCTGTCCACATTATAAAATTTTCTTTGACAAAAAACTGTTATATGCCCAACCATATCATTTGTCTACTGTATATAGGGTCACATGTTTTTGTCAAGTTCTGGACACAGCTCTAGCTCTGTCCACATTATAAAATTTTCTTTGACAAAAAACTGTTATATGCCACAACCATATCATTTGTCTACTGTATATAGGGTCACATGTTCCCACGACGACGACGTTTAAGCATTTTAAGTATTCAAGATAGGATCCTCAAAGAAGTCTTGCTGTAATGCTATTAATTGTATATTTTTAACATTAAAGAGGAGGAATTTGAGAGTGTGAATATAACTGTACGTATACAACAAAACAATCATCTTTAATTAAATATGTCTTGTCGCATGTTCGTACATTCAGCCTGAGCCAAATTTCTACCGTATGAGTTGGTTACGATTCCAACGTAAACAGTATGATTCATATGTTGCCACTGATTCGCAAAACAAATGCAGTTTGACTGCAAGCTATCGTCAATCACATAGCGTATGCTGTATTCCTATTCCCAGGAATCTTCTCCTGTCATATGTTTGTACACTCAGCCTGAGCCATATTTCTACCTTATGGGTTGGTTACGATTACAACGTAAACAGTATGATTCATATGTTGCCATTGATTCGCAAAACAAATGCAGTTTGACTGCAAGCTATCGTCAATCACATATTGTATATTCCTATTCCCAGGCAACATGGATTCTGTATTCAATTTGGTAAATTACTATACACCTTAAAAGGGTTCAATCTACATAACACATTATACTTCATAATTGTACTAAAATTCAAAAGATGAGAACAATATAATTTGTTGTATACGTTCTATCCAATGTAGACCTACTTATTTTGTTAAAGCATTACTATTCCCTACTCTAGTTACATGGTTGACAATGTATATATTGATTATGCACTACTATTCAAAAACAGATGATAATGATCATGACATTGATTAAAGCCAAAATAAAAACTATTGAATGTCTTATCTGTCATTGAATCATGAGTGATAATTAACAGCTGATCCAAATTTGATAATTCATTAAATTTGTATCGTTAATAGTAAAGTCATAACAGATAACGATAATGGTCATTTATTAGTTTTCAATAACTAATTTAATCTATCTTTAAGATTAAAATTAAATTGACACTATTTCAATAAATATATATTCTAAAGAACTTATTATCCAAATATGAATTAGGTCCTATACAAAAAATTACTAGTTTCACCCTATCTAGGCTTTTTATTTTAAATTTTACTATAGCCAAATATCACCCTTGGTTTGTTTGCTGGGGCATATATATTGATATTCAAAGTAAAAAATTATTTATATCTAATATTTACTAAAAAAAAAAATTTAAAAATATTTATTTTTTCAATACCATAGAAGAAATGCACGCAAGTGTGATAAACTAATAATTTTTTTAATTGGGCCTTGCGTATCATAATTATCATTTGGCGAATAATGTTTAATGTAAGATTATTTGTCACATGAATTTTGTGTAAATAAATCACGGATTGTACACACTTCGTGCAGCACCTTACAAACTACAAAGAGACGAATACGCATAAAATGATGTTAATTTACTACCAGATAATTTTGCCTATTATATACTGTTTTAATAACTAATTCTATAAAATATAAGTTTAATTATAAAATCTATGGTATTATTCCCATAAATCATGTTTTCACTGTTTTAAGTATTTGAACAATAGTAGGCCTAATGCTAGACTGAAACATAACAATTAAACTGAAAATACTGCTAATACGTGGGTTCGTGTATACAAATGGTAATACAATAGCAGTGAATACCGCGTGTTAGTAGGCAGTGCAGTGTAATGTTGGTTCCACAAAGTGACGAATATCCGTCAAATACTATTTAGACTGCTAATGATGTAAATAATGTTCACACGAACTGACGAATACTTTATTAGCTAAATAATAATAAATTAATTAATACATACATTGTGACATATAACTACAAAATATTAGTATAAAAAAAGACTTGACGTGTTGTACCGGTATGTTCCCAAATGCTTGCGAAAAAAAAACTTGCAAGTGATCTGGGTGGGAATCAAACCTACAACCTCTAGATAACTAGCCTGTCTTTACCACTAGACCACCGTGCTTGCACTTGATGGCTGGTGACAAATCCATTCCCAAGTATCATCGGGTACTGCAATGATATTCCAACAGCATTTTTTTTCATCAAGAGAAATGAATGCCCAATACATTCGTAAACGCTTGTGAAAATCACTCACCCATCCGAATCACTTGCAAGATTTTTTTTTAGCAAGCAATCGGGAACATACTGAGCATTTAGTACAATTACAGGTAGAACAAACATCATTTCGTATTATTATCATTATTATTATTATTATAAAAAGGTATCTTTTTGGAGATCCTGTCTTGCCAGAGAGGACGTATCATATTGATATCTATAATTTCTGGCGCATCAAGAAATAGTAATGTTGAATGTTCAATGTTTTGCTTGAGCAAAAAGAGTGTGAAGAATAAGTTGCTCTAATATTTTTGCTGGTATAAAACAAATGTTATGTAATTATGTAAGAATGTAAGAGGTTTTTAATTGAAAACAATGAAATATGTATATGATACATGATTTTAGTTAAATATAAATTAATATTTACTGCAAGTAAATATAAATTTAAATATGAAGAGAACTTTCATAAATATTTAAATTTCATTTCACCAATTCATATTTTCGGTGAAAATATTTTTTTAAATTACTATTACAGCAACAAAATATTTATGTGATGAATTTCTTTCACATGCTAATATACCATGTAACAATAAAATAGAATAACCTTCTGAAAAAGCTTAATCAATAGACATATTAATAACGCAGCTATTCAAGAGGAATACCAAGTCAATACACAGTAGACGACAGCATCCCAAAATCTTACCTTCTTTATCTTTTGATTATTCTTCTCCCACTTCCACAACATCACAGCCATTCTTGATTGTTTGGAATTTAGTTACGTATTAAAAATCCCTGCATTAATCTCTCATGACTCCCAGTAACAAAAACAACCCTCAAATAGCTACCATCCTTTTAATTCTTCTGACAGCTCACCAATATACACATACTACATAGAATCTATAGTGATTTACTTCATTGAACTGGCAGAGCCTTAGGATGTAACCATTTGACAGCAGGGGTGGATGTAGCAGTTAATGTAAATTAATATTATTGCAGCATGTGGCATAACATGACTGCTATGCATACTAATGCCTTGTCAATGTCACCGTACTATCTAATAATTATTTTGATGATTTTACATTTTTTATACGCATTAAAAATAAAATTTGATTCATTGTTTAAGAATGAATCGCAGTATCATTTTCAGAAACCTCTATCTATAAATCATTCAGTCCAGAATATCTCAATGGAAAGGTATTGCCTGATATATGAATCCAGCGATAATTGATGATTTTCTGGAAGGAGACTAATATTCTGCTGCTATGGCAACTAGTGCACATCCTTTGATCACGATTGGTTCAAATAATTAGGCCGCAAATAATTTGAATAAAAAAATAGGGCAAACCTACTAGCATTTTCTCAGTATCATATCAACAATATCATTATTAGATAGCATTTGCACGCCATCGTGTCGGGATTTAATATTTCAACATTAATTATTTCATCATCAGTAATATATCCTTATTATTACTCCTTAATGAAATGACACAATTGAGAGTGTCAACAAGAGTTGAAATCTTGGTTCTTTTTAAATATTACTTTCAGGCAGTCTTATCAGGCTATAATGTACTTATTTTCCAACAGGGGCCTCATAAAACCTCACAATAATTTTCTTCATTTTATACAACATATTTTTATTGCATGTTTTCGTAAAAATTTCACTACCCAACGGTGATTTTTAGGTCTGCCTTCCTCATGTTTTTAGTTGTAGTGATGACCACCATACATTTGTACCCCAATCTACGCAAGAAAGCATGATCAGCTCGTTTGTATATTACCCACAGCCAGGTGCAATGCACAGCCAACCTGGGGCTCCTGGCAAGTATACGGCACTCAAAAGTCTGGATCTACACGGTACACTAAACCCAAACTGTATACAACTTCTTTGAGTCTTGTTGTAATTGACCGTACACAGGAACCCGAATCTCTTGTTTACCTGCCTCTGTTTTCCTAGGGGGGGGGGGAGAACTATTACATAATCTTTTATTTTCATTTTGAAGTATTACTTTTAATGTAAATCATAAATAATTAATGTTTTTGAAGATATTAAAAAGGGAAAATGAAATGAAAATATTAAAAAACCATAACATTGCTATTTGAACTGCATACAGTTTAAAACCAATAACAAATTAAGCTTTTTTTATTTATTAATTTCAATAGAATATTTATACTTTATATATTATTAATTTATTTTATCCATCAGACTTTTTTTTATGAACTTCAGCATTCTTTTGACTTACTACAGGTCAAATGATGTAAATAAAACCTGGTTTCTGATAGTAAATCTATCAATTCTTACAATCCAAATAAATTTAGTCTATGATCAAATGGGACACACATGTACAAAGATTCTCCATCTATTCCAATTCTGGATTACAGGAGTTAACATCTTCGAACTTTCTCCATTTCAATGAGCCTGGAATGAGACAGATTTGTGTTTTTTTTTTTTATGAAAACATCATACATTGTTAGGTCAAATACAAAATATACTTGTTTAGCGTTACCGCCTACACCTTATTTTCTAGTCGCCTCTCCTTCTCTTTTTCTTTTCTTTTTTTTAAATGATGAAAATCAACTAAAAAATTATGATAATCGGTAGAAAATCCTCATTTTTATTTTTCTCAAGCACTGGGAACAAGCTGTGAAGTGTGCCACCAACATCACAAGCATGTTGTTTTATTTTACATGTACTTGACAGAAGTCACAGGGGATATAACCGGTAGTAGTACTAGACCTAGTAGGCGTACATCTTAATTTAATTGTTTTTTAGATAAACAATGTTTTAAATATGATAATTATACTGGACATTGAAGACAAATAATAGACTAAGAGCGACAATCGTCCAATGAGGCCTGGCCTAGGAAAAAGTTCTTCTAGTCTATTTACAGTATGTCTCAATCAAACATAACATGTTTTTTCACCCAAAAATGGATAGAGTTTCTGACAATGAAGGTATGTCTATTACTACTGAAGGTTCGACTAGCGAAGCTGCCGCTAAAGGGGAAAATTATCCCCAATGCGAGTCACAGCAGGCAAGGCCTACATCATGTCATTCTGGCGGAAATACTAGTAGTCCATCTTTAATGATTCCTTTAATAAAAATTTATTATTGACACTGAAGTACAATTATGTAGCGAGTTATTACATTCCCAAAAAATAAAAAAATAAAAACAACATAAAAAACAAATAAATAATAGTGAAAATGGTATGTAAAAATATGGTAGGAAGAGCTCTCCAAATCATTATAAAACAGCTAAACTTTCAGCATCTAATGGGGGCCCCGCTCCCTTGACACCAGTGGGACTTTGCCCCTGCACCACACCGGGGCCCTTACGCTGGCCCCTGGACCCAACGCCGTAATAGCGGCAGTCAAATCATGCTAGCTAAAACATTGTACATGATGTACCTAATAAGCCAAGCTAAATGAAGTAATGATCATTTACAATTGGGGTTAAAGCCAATATTCTACAGCGGAAAACATAACCCCAGATCTGTCTTCTTTAGGGAAATCATTTAGAACATCACAAGGAAAACACAGTCAACATATTTTCATATAAGTTACAACCATGGCCATTGTATAGCCGTTTCCTTGCTTGGTCAGCAACTATGCCTTTATTGGACATGTACAGAAAAAATTAATATGAGCAAACACGAGGCATGCGACCTTGCCAAAAAATTATACTGTACAGAAATGTTCTTATAATAACAACACAATCATAATTGAACAGAATCTAATGCTATGCCATCCAATGCACAACATTTTTTATAATGATGATGATTAATAATATTGTTATATTTAGCCTGTTTAGCACACAAAAAAGTGCCAATATTTGACGGACACGAGGTCTGACGTCACAGCACGTAGAGGATCCGACAAAACCATAGATGTGCTTTGGCGCAGAGCAACGGTTTGGTTTCCCATCCTCAAGGTTGAGGTTTCAATCCCTCGCTGTGTATTTCACTTGTGTCCTTGGGCAAGGCACTTTATCTGCATTGCTTCTCTAACCCAAGAGTACAAGTGGGTACCTGGTTGGGTTAAATGCCAAAATGCACTGATGTACCAAGGCTTTACTTAACTGATTTTAGAGTCTGATAATCTGTAAAATTAACGTAGGAATCATATTTATCAATGATTAGAGCTCCCCAAGGAGGGCTAGCTTACAGTTCCTGGCTGCCCAGCAGCCACTCCTCAGACACCACCCCAAAACTGGATTACACAAGCCCTCAACATGAAATCTCCCATTAAGAAATCTTCCTTTCTTCTTTATAATTATAAATATATTCAGCATTAATCAATCCATATGGTTAAAATAAATATGATATTATGAATTAGTTTCATTGATAAGATACCATAACTAGAAATGCTCCTTTTACGCTGCACAGTAAAATCATATCCTCCCCATGTTGTGATGAATTGATGTCTTACCAAACCTTAGTTATTGTGACAATGACAACATGAAGAATAATTTCAACTAAATTAGACATTTTTATGGGAATTATGATGGTATTTAATGTAAATTTCTTCATTAGTGAAATATTAATAATGCAATTAGCATAATCACACACATACCAAAAACAATAGGCAATTGTCATCTTATTACCATCTTGCATTCCGTAAAGTTTAAAACCAATCTGACTTACCAAACTTTAGTTATTTTGTTAACTAGCCTAATTTACCTGATTAGTGAAATATTAATTATGCAAATGAGCTTAATCATACACACACACAAAAAAAAAACAATATTCTCTGTCATATTCCCATCTTGCATTCTGCCAATTTTGAAATCAATACTTGCCCAAATTTGTCATCATGATAATTAGTCTAAAATATCTGATTAGTGAAATATTAATTATGCAAATGAACAATTAGCATATTCACACATGTACCAAAAACAATAGGTCCTGTCTTCTTATTACTATCTTATATTCTGCCAAGTTTGAAATCAATCTTCTAATTATACCATTACTATCTTGCATTTTGCCTAGTTTGAAACCAATCGGACATACCAAACTTTAGTTATTGTTGTAAATATTTACCCAACAACATCGACGGCAACGACAACAGCATGAAGAAAAACATAAAGAAAATAGCTTACTAGGAGCTTAATTCCTTTGAGGAGGCTAATTATAATTTGACAAATGAATACCACCAAAGAAAATATAGTACATGCTTTTGTTTTAAATCTTAGGACATCACACACAAAATCATGTCATGTTCATATTGAAATAAAATAATATAAAAGGAAATCATTGACCCAGTGTACTACAAAAAGACTACGTTACATGATAATTAAATTAGAATATTCTTGGTGATTCAAAATGTGTATAAAGTGTACCAAATAAAGATTACAGTAATAACAGATCACGAATGATCATACCAAAGGTAATTTGGGTATGCGAGAGAGTTTACTAGTGATTGACATGAGAAGTATGTGTATTTCAATAATCGAATAAGTAAATCTTTCATCTATCCACATTTCACACTTTATTCCAGCAGAGACTAATGCAACATTTTAGCATCAGCTGAAGTAATGACTCATGGATAATGGAATAATATTGTGTATTCTTGGGTTTAAGTAATTAGCCTGCAATATTATTGATTCTTTGATCAGACACGTACGCCGCTTGCACTCTGCCATTAACGTCTGGATTACGGTTCATGCAATACAAACTTATCATTTCCGCAATAGTAATATTATTAATGATTTATGAATTTTATAATAATGCTGTTTTAGTCGGTGTTTCTTGTCTTGAATTTTTATGAAAATATATCAGAAATAATAATGAGTGTAAATTTGTTTGTATTTTAAATTTTAACAGTGTATGATGTCTT